AATGTGTATTTTTAAGTATTTATTCAAAGAGGCAGACGACAGTGTACGTTAGAACGAGTCTTTATGCGCGACCACAGGCATCGATAACCGCCGTTTTTTTAAGCTTTGCTCATTTTGTTTGTGATTATTTTACGTTTCGCTTTTCATGGGGGCTTACGGTGAGTCTGCAGTTGTAATAGGTGTTGTTTTATCAGTTTTATTTTAGATTGCCCCATTTTTTACGTATATTTCTTTTGCTTTTATTGTTTCGGAGGTTTTGTTTATTTTGATTTATATGTAAAGGTTTTTTTTTAATAATATTTCAAGCTTTGCCTTTCTTTCGTTTTTCCGACTATTTATGAGAATAAGTTTAGTTCATTATAATCTGAAAATTACTAAAGAGATAATATATAAAAAAAATATCAAAGTGTAACATAGTTTTTTTTTTTTTTTTTTTTTTTTTTGAGAAATGAACAGATGAGACGAGAATATGAATGATAAATATAAGAGATAAAGAAAATGTCAACGACCTTAAGATGAGTGAAATAATTTTGCTTTTGTGAAATTTAATTGATAAAGCGTAGCATACTCATTTGATTTATTTAATTTATTTATCTTTGTTTTATCACGTTCATTTTACTTTGCTTATTTTAACTCTGCGCTTTATCAGTAGCTTACTCATTTGATTTATTTAATTTATTTTAACTTTGTTTTATTAAGTCGTGTTTCATTTTACTTTGCTTATTTTAACTCTACGCTTTATCAGTAGCTTACTCATTTGCTACATTGCTTATTTTAACTCTACGCTTTATCATATATGTTTATGATTTTCTGTTTTGGTCGAAACTTAGTTCGTGAAAGACGCTACCCATATATATATAATATATATATATATATATATATATATATATATATATATATATATATATATATATATATATATATATACGCTATATGACATCACACCACGAAACAATGGTAATTACTTAGGTTGGTAATTGCTTAGTTCTCGCAAACTAGGGAAATGGTCATAATAACCCGTACATATTTCGTCTCACTCCTCCCATTATACCTATCAGTATTCTTCCTTCCTCTCTATCTCCATCTCCTCTTCCCCAATTCGGTTTCAGTTCGGTTACGGGATCGAAAATCTAGTCCGGATTGAGTCACTTCACCTCCGGATATGAGTCACACAACGAATCGTCCTCATGAACTCGTCCGTTACACCATGAATCACAGAGTAATTGAATTCAAAGGGAAGTCCTTTGATATTGTTATAAGACCGTTAATAAATCATGATATTCCATTGTGCTTACATAGAGTCTTTTTTGTTTTTCTTTCTTTCTTTGTCTTTCTTTTTTTTATGATGTGCACTTCGTAACCGAAACCGTGGTCAGTAACGACCGGGTGATCGAACACTGATTGAACAACTTATTCGTTTTGTGCTTGTTTGTTTGTTTATCATTTTGCTCGTTTGTTTTGTTTAATTTGTTTTCCTTTTCTCTCTTTTCTGTTTAGTTTAATTTACTTCTCTTCTCCATCTGCACCATTCTATTATTTTTAATCGGTAACAAGAACAGGATCTGGCATTTAGTTTACTTACAACTGTATTTCTAATCATCTCACAATTAGGTAATTAATTCTATAAATCGTTATATTCCATATAGTATCTGAAGAGTAAAATATAGAAAAAATCAAGGTTATATATAATTTTATATTTTTGGTTTACAGAGCAATATCTTTGAAAATGCGAGAAGTTGACTTTTAATTGAGAGAGAAGGCAATGTTCCACAATGAGCATAGTACAATTAACAACCAAATGAAAAAATAAAAACAGCAAAGATATCGAAATACAGACACTAAAACAAATTCCGTCCTACTTCTGATAGATTAGACTAGTTACCCCGAGAAAAGCATTTTCTTTGATGACATTCCGTTTAAAGGGTAACTTAACTGAATATGCATTTTACCAAAGCGTCGAAAATATTCCATATATAACAATCTCATTATTTATCAACTCTTTAATGTAGGATGATGATTTTATGTGATACCCTTTTCCAGGATACATATTAAGACTCTAATGAGGTGCCTCTGCTTTGAAGAGCAAGATAAAAGCACCTCATAAAAACATAGACATTTTTATTTCGAGTTTCGGTTATCTCGCTTGATGTAAGCCAAGCAAGATCATGAAATTATCATCCTAAATTCTACAATGATTAACGGCATTATTGAAGACGATTGTGTATCTTTATTGTTCTCATTCATTCATTCATTCATGTGTTTTATTTGTACGCGTGTGTGTGTGTGTGTATTGTGTAAAATTGAAGGCATAATAAAAAAAACATTTAAGCCTTAAAAACAAGTGAAATGGGGCAGTTTCGTATGTGTTTGTTTTGTGATGAACGCGGAATTTAACTGATTTTAAGAAAATATTGATGAATGACGGAAGCATAGTTCATACATAATTTTAGTTTTGTTTCCGTTTATTTATGTATCATCTTTATTCAGTTATCCAGTCGTTTGTTAACTTCAAGAAAAAAAAAGAGATGCACGAAAAATTGTGCAAAATTATCTGATTTCAAAGAACAATTGATGACTGACTTGTCTACTTTCTAATAAATTTTAGTTTTCATTACTTTCAATCTCTTTTGATCATTTTTCACTCATTTACTCATTAGTATATACATTTAGTTATTCATTTATGAGAATAGAACGCCCATAAACAAACAACTTTCTTTTCTAAGACATAAAATTTACTCTGATGATTCGGACTGCCCTTGCCCAATGCCCAAGATCCATTATGCCTTTATGCCCTTTATTCAGCACCATGAATGACTGTGAATACTTTCCCAATATGAAGAAAATGTGTCAGATGTATTGTCTGCCGATTTATTTACAATTCTAACATCTATTTATTTAAAAAAAACGTGATATTTATTCGTATCACTGACATAGTAAGTTATTTGTGAGTGTTGCGTTGTTTTTGTTCGATTTTCTTGTGTGTTTGTGTAATCTATTTCGTAAACAATAAAACAAAAAGAACGGATTGTTATTAAACTTTTATTCAAATGGGCGTAGGCTTCTAACAATTATATTAAATCATGACTTAAATTATATACATCATAGACCATTCATAATTCTTACACATTTACATAACGTAGGTTTCATTACACACAAGGACACAAAATAAACAAAATTGTACAAAGAAAAGAACAATAAATAGTGACTTCAATATTTATTGTTATTTTCGTTGCACTGATTGACTTTCGTGTATTTTTGTCCATAGTAAAAAAAAAAAAATACATACATACACACTTTTGAGCATATAGTTTGTATTAATGCTAAAAAAAGTAACACAAGTATAAAGGAGTGAAAAAAAAAAAAAAAAGAAATAAGGTGAAAAATTTTGACATTCACCATAACACTTCACAACTCTTTACCTTTTTCTGGTAATATCCCAAGAAAAGGCACAAGGCAAATATATATCAAAATACCCTTGATAGGATTATATAATTTTGTGGCTATTAAATTCTGATGTTCAGTATTATCTAGATTCGCTACCCTTAATGATATATTTTTTTCTCTTATCTTAAGTCAGTTATCTCTCTTATTGTGAGTGAACTTCCCTCTCCCCTCATTCTAACCCTTCAATTCTCCCCTCCCCCCATCCCCCTCACCCCTACCCCTCTCACATTCACTCAACCTCACTCGAACCCTTCACCCTCTCCCCCCCAACTAATCCCTCTCCCCCACCTCCGCTTTAAACCTTTCTCGTCTCTCACCCCCACCCGATTCGAACAAACCCACCCCTCTCATCCCCCACCCCTCTCACTCAAACCACCCCCACCACACTCATCCCCCCCACTAACCCCTTTTCTCTGACCCCTCATCCCCCTTAACACCCCATCCACTCCACCCCCCTCCCAACCCCCACCCCACCCAACCCCCACCCCACCCCAAACCCCCCCCCCCACTCCATCCCACCCCCAACCCACTTCACCCACCCCAACCCCCTATCCCACCCTCCCCTACCCCCACTCCATCCACCTCCCCCCCCACCCCACAGCCTCCCCTTTCGTCTCGATCACAGCACGAAAGCAGAAGACGACCCCCACCACGCTCGTCGCCCCCTCCCACCCCTACCCCCCCCCCAACCCACTCCATCCACTCCTCCCCCAACCCCTTCTCACCCCACAGCCTTCCCCTTCGTTCTCGATCACAGCCACGAAAGCAGAGACGGACCCCCACCACGCTCGTCGCCCCTACTAACCCCTTTCTCTGACCCCTCATCCCCCATTAACACCCCATCCCACTCACCCCTCCCCCCAACCCTCCCCCACTCCTCACCACCCTCCCTCCCTCACCCTCCCCTCCCCCATCCACCCCAACCCCTCCCACCCCAACCCCCTACCCCCACCCCCACCCCACTCCTCCCCAACCCCTCTCACCCCACAGCCTTCCCCTTCGTCTCGATCACAGCCACGAAGCAGAAGACGACCCCCACCACCTTCCCCTCCCCCTCCCAACCCTCCCACCCCACCCCAACCCCTACCCCCACCCCAACCCACTCCATCCCACTCCTCCCCCAACCCCTCTCACCCCACAGCCTTCCCCGTCTCGATCACAGCCACGAAGCAGAAGACGACCCCCACCACCCTCCCCTCCCCTCCCAACCCTCCCAACCCACCCCCACTCCTACCCCACTCACCCCCAACCCCCTCTCACCCCCAACCCTTCTCACCCACAGCCTTCCCCTTCGTCTCGATCACAGCCACGAAGCAGAAGACGACCCCACCCACGCTCGTCCCCCCTCCACCCCCTACCCCCACCCCAACCCACTCCATCCCACTCACCCCCAACCCCTCTCACCCCCAACCCTTCTCACCCCACAGCCTTCCCCTTCGTCTCGATCACAGCCACGAAGCAGAAGACGACCCCCACCACGCTCGTCGCCCCCTCCCACCCCTACCCCCACCCCAACCCACTCCATCCCCATCACCCCCAACCCCTCTCACCCCCAACCCCTCTCACCCCACAGCCTTCCCCTTCGTCTCGATCACGGCCACGAAGCAGAAGACGACCCCCACCACGCTCGTCGCCCCATAGAACCAGTAAAGACCAGCCTGCGTCAGGAGCTCCATCATGGGACTGTACAGCTGGAGGACGAGGAAGGTGAGAACCGTGCCAGCTGAGATGCAGATGGAGGAGGCCTGGGTGGGGTGGGGAGGAGGATGGGGGGGGGGAGAGAAAGGGAAATGGATTAGATAAAGGTGATAGGGGTGATGATGGTGGTGATTGATGGTGATGATAGTGGAGAGAAGGGGAAAATGATTTAAAAATTGTAATAGTGATGATGATGATGGTGTGGTGGTGATGATGGTGATGAATATGATGAGGATGGGGATGATAGTGAAGAGAATAGAAACAGGATTAAATATAGTGATAGTGTGATGATGGTGATGATAGTGGGGAGAACGGGAAAAGGATTATAAAATTGTAATAGAGATGATGATGAAGATTATGATGATAGAAAGAGAAAGGGAAAGGGATTAAATAATAGTGATAGAGATGATGATTGATGACGATGATGATGGTAGCGGAGAGAAGTGGAAAGGGAATAAAAAAATAGCGATGATGATGGTGATGATAAAAAGGATAATGATAATAACTATAACAATTACAACAATGATAATGATTAATTAGACGCTATTTGGTGGCAATATAGGAAGAAAAATATTTGACAGGGATGAATACGATCAGTGACATCAAATAGGATTTCTCAAAACATTAAAAGGAAAAAACGAAACAGAATTTTGTAAATCAATTTATAAAGCGTAAGATGAAGGAAAACGTATACAAAAGGCATGATATTGATCAAAATGTATCTGGGCAGTTACAATAAAAATCAAATTACTGATGAATTGGCTGTATATGGTGAAAATTGAATATAAAGTCTAATGGAAAGTAAAATGTAAACTGATTGATCACATTGACTACTTACGGTAAAAAAAAAGTTTGAGCTAAAATATATTGATTAGTATGACAATGCGTGGTAATAATATATATATATATATATATATATATATATATATATATATATATATATATATATATATATATAAACGTAAATGTCAGAGAGGATTATATTTATTAGCATGCCTTTATATATGTTTTTCCTGCCACCACCATCATCATCTTAATGAAAATAACCTTCTACAAAATATCATAGCCTATCACAGCCGACAATACAGCAAGGCTCATAGTACAATATTTCCAACCATACCACACAGCCTTATAGCCTAGCATAGCCACCTACACAATAAAGCCCTAAAGAACTAATAAAGACAATACAACAAGGCTCAAAATGTAGCAAATCCAATCACACCACACAGCCTTATAGCCTAACGTAGCCACGACGAAGACCTACCTGAGCTCTGAGGTTGGTAGGGAAATACTCCGACGACAGGACATAAGGCACCGGGTGGACGCCGATGTCACAGAAGAAGAGAGAGACGCACACACACACTGTGGGGACCCATTCAAGCCTGGAAGACGGTGGGAAGAAATCTTTGAGGAGGTGTTGTGGGTAGTGGGGTGTCGGGTGTGGTATTTGTGGCAGTGGTGTTGTGTCTTGAGTGGGTGTAAGGAGATGGAGGGAGTGTATGGGGGTGTGGTAGTGTTGCTGTGTCTTGAGTGGTGTTAGAGGAGGTATTGGGGTAGTGTGGCGTCGGGTGTGGTATTTGTGGCAGTGGTGTTGTGACTTGAGTGGTGTAAGGAAATGGAGGGAGTGTATGGAGGGTGTGGTATCGGAATAGTGAGGTGAGGTATAGAAATATGTGTAGGTAGAGAAACGGTAGGTGGATACGGGTTTAGATGGAATGGAATTCGAGTGTAGATCAAGAGGCTTCGAGATATCTGATAATGTTTGTGTCTGTGTTGCTTTCGAGGCCCGGGGGAGCGCTCACCTGTCGAAGGAGTCGTCGCCCGGCTCGGCGCCCTCGGCCAGGTGCACGTAGGTGCCGAGGATGAGGAGGCAGGCGGCGTTGACGGCGTGCGAGCCGATGAGGCAGTTCCTGCGGCCGACGCGGTCCATGAGCAGGATGGCGGCGAGCGTCCCGCCCACCTTGAGCGCCCCCGCGATGGCCGTGATGGCGTCGGGGTCCAGCGGCGCCCCCGTCGCCTGCAGGACGCGCGCCGTGTAGATCATGAACACGAAGTTTCCGCACAGCTGCATGAGGGCGAACAGGGTGACGACGACGGCGATGCGCTTGAGCACGTCCGCCTTGAGCAGGCCCCGCCAGCCGCTCTCGCCGCCGCCCACGCGGTTCCGCCGCTCCAGGTCCGCCACCTCGGCCTCCACGTCGGCGTAGTCCCCGCGCAGCCTCCGCAGGATGACGAGCGCCTGCTGGCGGCGCCCCTTGACCACCAGGTAGGACGGCGACTCCGGCAGGAAGAAGGAGCCTACGAGGAGCAGCAGCGGCGGCAGGATGCACACGAAGGCGAGGACGTGCCACGCCAGCA